AGTATTCCTGTCAAGTTTGTTCCAGATCCATCATTGCTTGAGTCCACAGTGTTTTCTGGATGGAGGTAAACTACAATTCCAAAATTCAAGGTCAATGCCGACCAAACCCTTCCAGTATTTTCTGTTGGTCATGGGAGTTTGTGTGCCAAGTTTGGTTCAATTCCATCGTTGGTGGGGTTCAGAATGCTCTTTGATTATAGATGAACTATAAATACCAGCAACTACAACTCCCAAATGACAAAAACCAATTTTGGGTTGTTGTAGGGTTTTTTCGGCCTATAATCAAATTTTTTGAGTGATTTTGAGTTATGATGTTACTCAAAATGAACAGAGCATTTTTGTCTGGTTTGCCTACTCTAGAACATGCAACATATAATTGTCCTTCTTTAGGGGTCCCTTTCAAATCTATGGTACTATATCTGTCATAAACATGTGTGTGTGTGTGTGTGAATCATATATATTTATCTATATATAGGGCTGGATTGCTCTTTGTCAAGAGGGCTTTGTGTTTTCTTGCCCTGGTGAAGGGAGTTGGACTGGGTGGCCTTAAGGCACCATTTCTCAACCTGGGGTTTGGGACCCCTTGGGGGGGTTGCAAGGGGGTGTCAGAAGGGTCGCCAAAGACCACCAGAAAACACAGTATTTTCTGTTGGACATGAGGGTTCTGTGTGGGAAGTTTGTCCCAATTGTCATTGGTGGGGTTCAGAATGCTCCTTGATTGTAGGTGAACTATAAATCCCAGTAACAACAACTCCCAAATGTCAAGGTCTATTTCCCCCAAACTCCATCTGTGTTTATATTTGGGCATATTGAGTATTAGTGCCAAGTTTGATCCAGATCCATCATTGTTTGAGTCCACAGTGCTCTCTAGATGTGGGTGAACTACAACTCCCAAACCCAAGGTCAATGCCCACCAAACCCTTCTAGTGTTTTCTGTTGGTCAGGGGAGCCCTGTGTGCCAAATTTGGTTCAATTCCATCGTTGGTGGAGTTCAGAATGCTCTTTGATTATAGGTAAACTATAAATCCCAGCAACTACAACTCCCAAATGACATGAGGCGGGATAAGGGGCCTTATGGGCGAGGGAGAGAGGGTGGGGTGGCTCATATGCCAGGGTGTCAAAAGGAAGAGGAGGAGGGCTCCAAAGAAGCAGTGGCAGCAATGGCTGCTGCTCCCTGCATGTCTCTCAGCCCCTAACTAACACTAAGGCAAGGGATCAAAGGGCAGAGGCTGAGGAGGGGGGGGGGGTGGAGGGGGGGGGGGAGGGAGGCTGGCCACACTCTGGGCACACACTCTGACTCTGTCTCCCACACACACACTCCCACAGCACAAAGGAAGGAGGAAGGTGCCATGATGGGGTAATAGGGACACACAAAACTGACATTGCTTGGAAAGGAGCCCAAAGACCATCCAGCCCAACCTCATTTGGCAGTAAAGGAAGACACCATCAAAGCCCTCACAACAGATGGCCAACCAGTTGGAAGGGAGCCCTAAAGGCCATCCAGTCCAACCCCCTCCTTCCTTCCCTTCCTCCTCCTTTCTCTACTTCCCTTCCTTTCCTTCCTTTACTTCTTTCCCTCCCTCCCTTCCCTCCCCTTCTCCCTCCCTCCCTTTCATTCCTTCCTTTTCTCCTCCCCTAGCCAGCTTCATCTTCCTTTGTTTAATCTACAGTGTAGATGCACCCAAAGTCACCCCTTCCACACTGCCATGTAAAATCCAGATTATCTATTTAGGACTGGATTATTTGGCAGTGTAGACACACACAAACACATGTGGATGGATGTTGGATCACTGGTTGGTAATAGATAGATAGATAGATAGATTAATAATAATAATAATAACACTTTATTTATACCCCACTACCATCTCCCCAGGGAGCCCCCAGTGGCGCAGTGGGTTAAACCCCTGTGCCGGCAGGACTGAAGACTGACAGGTCTCAGGTTCAAATCTGGGGAGAGGCGGATGAGCTCCCTCTATCAGCTCCAGCTCCTCATGCGGGGACATGAGAGAAGCCTCCCACAAGGATGATAAAACATCAAAACATCCTGGCGTCCCCTGGGCAACGTCCTTGCAGATGGCCAATTCTCTCACACCAGAAGCAACTTGCAGTTTCTCAAGTCACTCCTGACACGACAAAAAAAAAAAAATCTCCCCAGGGGACTCGGTGCAGCGTACATGAGGCCGAGACCAATATACAACAATACAAGCAATAACAATAACAACAAAACAATAAAACAATAACATAAGCATTATCAATAGGACAACATACTTTAAAATCTATGGGTAGGCCAAATGTAATTAAAATTTAAAAGATTAAAAATAATGCTGGACATGGGCGGAAATGATGGGACGGTTTGTGGGAACATACGAGCAGACCTAAAACAATATAAAGTGCTTTGGAGGATGAAGTGCTATGGGATCATTATTCTGGGAAGGCACACTGGAACTCCTCTTAAAGACTGCCAAAGTTGGGGCATGCCTGATGTCCTTAGGGAGTGAGTTCCAGAGTCGAGGGGCCACCACCGAAAAGGTCCTCTCTCTCATCCCAACTATATTAAATAGACTCATAGAATAGAGTTAGATGGGAGCGTGAGCAGGGCCTCTCCAGATGATCGAAGAGATCGTGTGGGTTCGTATACAGAGATATATAAAGTATTGTATGTATATATGTATATACATACAATACTGCTATATGTATATATGTATATATATACAATACTGCTATATAATACTACTATTATAGAGGGAAGGAAGGTAAGAAAGAGGTACCGAAGGAAGGAAGGAAGGAGAAAAGGAAATAAAAAGTGAAAGAAGGAAGGAAACAGGAAGGGAAGAAAGGAGACAAAGGAAGAAGTAGAGAAAGGGGGAGGGAAGGCAGGAAAAAGAGAAGGAAGGGTGAAACCAAAGAGCGAAAGAAGGAATGAAAGAAAGATGTAGTGAAGGAAGAAAGGAGAGAAAGGGGAAGGGGAAGAAAAAGGGGGGAAGGAATAGGTAATAATAGTCCAAATATCTACCTCTACGTTGAAAAGTCTTATAGGCCACAGCAAGGCGTGCCAGGACACAGCTAGTATATGTGTGTGTGTGTGTGTGTGTGTATATATACACATACACACACACACACACATACATACATACACATATATAACCAAATATATAACAGAATAAGACATATACCCAGCCTATATATGCATGCATATATGTACGCATACACAGATATATGTACCGACATGTATACCTACACACACAAAAACAACATTTATATATATACACACATACGGACACATGTATAGAGATTCAAAAGATGTCCCAAGAAATCTATTGATTTAAAAAAAAAATCAATGTCCTAAGGCAGTGTTTCTCAACCTGGGGGTCGGGACCCCTGGAGGGGTCGCGAGGGGGTGTCAGAGGGGTCACCAAAGACCACCAGAAAACACACTATTTTCTGTTGGTCATGGAGGTTCTGTGTGCAAAGTTTGGCCCAATTCAATCGTTGGTAGGGTTCAGAATGCTCCTTGATTGTAGGTGAACTATAAATCACAGCAACTACAACTCCCAAATGTCAAAGTCCATTTTCCCCAAACTCCACCAGTGTTTACATTTGGGCATATTGAGAATTCGTGCCAAGTTTGGTCCAGATCTATCATTGTTTTGAGTCCACAGTGCTCTCTGGATGTAGGTGAACTACAACTCCCAAAACTCAAGGTCAATGCCCACCAAACCCTTCCAGTATTTTCTGTTGGTCATGGCAGTTCTGTGTGCCAAGTTTGATTCTATTCCATCGTTGGTGGAGTTCAGAATGCTCTTTGTAGGTGAACTATAAATCCCAGCAATTACAACTCACACAGGACAAAATTTATTTATTTATTTATTTACTTTATTTGTATACAGCCCGTAGGCGACTCAGTGCGGTTTACAGCCAGGTCAATATACAAAGTGCACAACATTAGCATTTAAAACAGTAACTAAGGCAACTACATCAATATAACAATGCATCAATACATCAGTATAACATCAATACATCCATATAACTAATCCATCACGTCTCATCAGTAAAGTCATAATCCGATTTCCTCGTCCATTATTCCAAGTTCCAAGATCAATCAATTGGTTGCACTGCTTAATTAAACGCCTGTTCAAAGAGCCAGGTCTTTACTCTTCTCCTGAACGCCAGCAGGGAGGGGGCCGATCTAATGTCTGCGGGAAGGGCGTTCCACAGCCGAGGGGCCACCACTGAGAAGGCCCTGTCTCTCGTCCCCCCCAGGCGTGCTTGTGAAGCCGGCGGGATTGAGAGCAGGGCCTCCCCAGACGATCTTAATGTCCTAATCAATCCTCCCCAATCCCACCAGAATTCAAATGTGGGTGATTGGGTATTTGTGCCAAATTTGGTCCAGTGTATGAAAATACATCCTGCATATCAGATATTTACATTACTATTCATAACAGCAGCAAAATTACAGTTATGAAGTAGCAATGAAACTAATTTTATGGTTGGGGGTCACCATAACATGAGGAAGCGTATTAAGGGGTCGTGGCATTAGGAAGGTTGAGAACCACTGTCTTAAGGTGTTTATTTGAGTGAGCTTCTGATCTGATCAACTACAGGCCTGTTTGAGCGTGCTCAGAGCCTTTGAAATCCTTTCTGTAAGTCAAGCTCTTATTTGGACGCTATCCCTTTAAATTTTGAGACACCCTGTTTCCGCCACGCCCCACCTCTCCACTTGCTCTTGCTTTTTTTCCCTCCCGTTGGCGTGATCTCGCGAGACTTCCCGCGGCCAATCCTCGCGACGGGGCGGTTTTTTTTTCAATTTAGTGGCGCGCGCCCTTGGAAAGCTGTAGCAGGGAGCTGAGCGCAGACGAACTGGCTTGTTGAAAGAGGCGGGATTTGACGGAACCAATCAATTGGCGCCTTGCTTTCCTTGAGGACGCAGCCAATGGGAGGAGAAGGGGCGGAGCAGGAAAGGCGGGGAGTGCCAAATTGGGCGGTTTAAGGGGCGGGGATTTTGGGATCAAGTTGGGCTGAGCGGTCGCGGTCTTCGTGGAAGGGAGAAAGACCCCCTAAAAGTCGTCATTTCTGGGCCGAGGTAGGAGAGGAGACCAGGAAAGGGTCGAAAAGGTTGGGATATTGTTACTAATCGTATTATTATTGGGAAGGAAATTAAATTGTAATTGTGGGGTTTTTTTTAAATATTGGGAGCTGATTTGAGTCGTGTTTTGGGAAATAATAATAATAATAAGTCCAAGGTGAAGCTGAATTGTATTGTTTTAACTTGAGAGCCATTTTGGAGAGAAGATTATGTCATTGTCCATAATATATTTCATTGTTTATATTTATTTTATTATTTATATTTATTTCATTATTTTTATTATTTTTATTTATTATAATATTACTTATTATTATTATTATATATTAATATATTATTACATTATTATAGTTTATCATTGATGGTGAAGGTGTAATATAACTAATTTATTATATATAATATTAATAATGTTGTAATATATATATATAAATGCTCTGTGCATAATGAGTACCTTAAAAACAAAAGAACCAATGAACGAAATCACACCACATTTGGCAACAAAACATCTCCAACACAAGGAGTGACCATCACTCAAAAAATTATGTTTTTGTCATTTGGGAGTTGTAGTTGCTGGGATTTATAGTTCACCTACAATCAAAGAGCATTCTGAACTCCATCAACGATGGAATTTAACCAAACTTGGCACACAGAACTTGCATGGCCAACAGAAAATACTGGAAGGGTTTGGTGGGCATTGACCTTGAGTTTGGGAGTTGTAGTACACCGACATCCAGAGAGCACTGTGGACTCTAACAATGATGGATCTGGACCAAACTTGCCACAAGCACTCAATATGCCCAAATACGAACACAGATGGAGTTTGGGGGAAATAGACCTTGACTTTTGGGTGTTGTAGTCACTGGGATTCACAGTTCGCCTACAATCAAAGAACATTCTGAATGACAGAATCGGGGCAAACTTCCCAGACAGAACCCCCATGACCAACAGAAAATACTTAAGGCCATCCAATCCAACTCCTTCATCAGGGCAAGAAAACGTAATCAAAGTCCTCCTGACAAAGAGCTATCCAGCCATAGATTGATAGATAGATAGATAGATAGATAGATAGATAGATATGATTCACACACACAGATATAGTATCATAGATTTGAAAGGGACCCTAAAGAAGGACAATGATATGTTGCATGTTCCAGGGTGGGCAAACCAGACACTCTCCACATCAACACTGACAAAGAAACAGCAAGAAATACTGTTTACCCACAAGCAGAAAGAAATTACATATAGTAGAAACCAACACTTTCACAATGTTTTCCAGATCAACAGACTGGGCCACAGCAACGCGTGGCAGGGGACAGCTAGTGTGTGTGTGTGTGTGTGTGTGTATATATAGCAACTTATGATGTACTACAGTCTATTACATAATACGAATAGTATTATACACTGGTGATATATTATATGTGTTGTGGTATAATAATGAAGTACAATATAATAATGTATAGTTTCATGATTGTTTACTGTCTGGAATACCCCTTTTTCAGATAGATAGATAGATAGATAGATAGGAACATGAAAGGCACTTCAGACTGATTCGATCAGAGAAATCAACCATAGCAGAGCTCCTGATGAACCAACCTGGACAGAGCATATTACTGGAGAACACAGAAATGCTGGACCACTCTGATAACCACCATGTCAGACTAAACAGAGAAGCCACTGAAATCCCCAAGGAGCATGTGGACAATTTCAACAGAAAGAAGGACGCCATTGAAATGAACAAAATCTGCCTCCCAATATTTGACAAACTCTAAAATCAGGACAGTAAATAAAGAGCAACACTCAGAAAACAGGAGAATTCCAGACAGGAAACAATCAGGGCCAGCTAACACCTCCCTACAAAGGATTCCCCCAGGCAGGAAGCAGCGAGGCTTTGAAACTGCAAGGCTATTCAATGCTAATCAAGCTGGCCAATTGCAACATTCACACCTGCCTCAAACAGACACGAGTTTTTTCTCCCACCCTTGACATTATTCCACATATATATGTAAACCACACTGGCTTAGTTTCCAACAGACCACACTATCTCTGAGGATGCCTGCCATAGATGTGGGCAAAATGTCAGGAGAGTATCCTTCTGGAACATGGCCAGACAGCCCAGAAAACTCACAGCAACCCATTGGTAGAAGTGTTCATGGGTTATTTTTTGTGGTTATTTTTCATGGTATTCTTTTAAATTAGGAGCCATTTTTGAGATACTATATAATAATAATATTGTGGCAGTGTTCATGGGCACCTTGATTTTTCTGTGTAATGTATTGTTTTACATTTTATCTTGGGAGCCTTAAGAGTTCTAAATATAACAATGGTGGAGGCTGTCCATGGGTGCTTTAATTTCCATTTTCTTTTTTTAGGTATTGCTTTTGATTGGGAGCTTCCTTGGGGAAAGGGGAATTATGGGAACTGTGATTTTAGGTTTCATTGTGTGGTTGATACAAGAGGGCTGGCCAGGAAGCAATATTTGTGCTGTTTAGTTTTAGTGTGAGAATGTGGCAGGAGACCCGTCTGTTGGGAGGGTTTTGATTGTGCTTTCCCTGCCTGGCAGAAGGGGGTTGGACTGGATGATCTTTGGGAACTCTTCCAACTTTAAAATTGTAATGTTTGTATAGCCTTATCTCTCCCTACGAACCTACTGATGTCAATGAGACTGGATGTCCATCTGTCAGGAGGGTTTTGATTGTGCTTTCCCTGCCTCGCAGAAGGGATGGCCCTTGTGGGTCTCTTCAGTGCCTCTTTCCCATTCCCCGCTGTGCTGTATCCTGTCCCACGTTTGTAATGCCTTGTCTTTTCTGGTCCTTTGACAGAGGTACAGCCGCCATGTGGATCCAGGTGCGCACCATGGATGGGAAGGAGACCCATCGGGTGGACTCCCTCTCCAAGCTCACCAAGGTGGAGGATCTGCGCCAGAAGATCTTTGAAACCTTTAACGTGGCCCCAGATCGGCAAAGGCTCTTCTACAGGGGCAAACAGGTATCAGCCAATCTAATATCCCCTTTTCCTATCCAGGGTGTTATTTATTTATTTTCTTTTTTATATACTGCCCCTCTCAGCCCGCAGGCGACTCAGGGCAGTTTACAGTCAATATCAAAGCATAAGAATACAATAAAAACAATTAAGACAATATAAAATCATGATAAAATCAATAAAAACATATGTCATTCGAGTCTCCTTATTAAAACGTGGTCCAATTACATTCGTCCAGTCAGTCTATTTTCCTATGTCTGTTACGCTGTATTTGCAAACGCTTGTTCAAAAAGCCAAGTCTTAACTTTCTTCCGAAATGTTAAAAGACCAATCTAATATCCCTAATGTTCAAGTGGAATCTCCTTTCCTGTAATTTGAATGTACAATGGCTACGTGTCACCATTACCCTTTGGGAAGAACAAAGCATAATAGTGTCAAGATCGAGGGAAGTCCTAATCCCATTCTATTCTGCAAGTCAGACATGAGCCGAAATTGTGATGCGGCAGCTAAAAAGACCAATAGAAGTCTAGGCTGCATCAATAGGCAAATAGGATCTAGATCAGGGGTCCTCAAACTAAGGCCCGGGTCCGTATACGGCCCTCTAAGGTCATTTACCCGGCCCTTGCTCAGGGTCAACCTAAGTCTGAAATGATTTGAAAGCACACAACAATAACTACAATCCTATCTCACCAGCCAAAAGCAGGCCCACACTTTCCATTGAAATACTAATGTTTATATTTGTTAAAATTGTTCTTCATTTTAATTATTGCATTGTTTTTAAGTGTTTTTTTGCACAACAAATAAGATATGTGCAGTGTGCATATGAAATCATTCATGTTTTTTTTTCGAATTACAATCCGGCCCTCCAACAGTTTGAGGCATTGTGACCTGTTTAAAAAGTTGGAGGACCCCTGATCTAGCTTGAGGGAAGCCATGGCCCATGTGACAGGGATCTGGGAGTCTTACTGGACTGCAAGCTGAACATGAACCAACATAGCCAGAGATTTGGAAGCCAAGTCCTCTAAGGAAGGGCATAAGGAGCCCTATGAGGGAACTGGGTATGTTTTGCTCGTAGGAAAGAAGGCTGAGAGGTGGGGACATGAGAGCCAATACTGAGAAGGAGGTCCCATTGAGGATGAAGCTTGCTTGTTGGATTTAAATAGCAGGAATAAAGATCCACCCTAAAAACTGGGAAGAATATCCTGACACTCAGAACTGTTCAGCAGTGGAATATGCGAACACTGAGTAGAGTGTAGTTGCCTTCCTTGGAGGTTTTTCAGCACAGGCTGGATGGTCATCTGTCAGGGGTACTTTGGCGCTGCTTTTCCTGTTGGCTGGGGTTGGGCTGGATAACCTTTGAGGTCACAACACTTAAGATTCTAAAGGCAGTTAAGTGCCTTTGTTAAAGGAAGGCTGAGGGTGTTTTAAAACAATGAGCCCAATTTCTAAACAGTATATTTTACGAAGGCAATAGGTTACCATTCCACAAAAAGTTACAAACGGGGTTTAAAGCCTTGTCAAGTTATCCCCATTGGGGGGAAAATTCCAATCTGAATAGGGAATAGGACAAGAATGGCAGCGGCATTAAGAGAAATATAACCTAATTTTATTCCTATGACGGAAGCCAGGGGCTGTTTGTTTGCCAGGAGAGTCATCTCGCGGCAGTGATTTTACACCATGGCCCACCTTTTAAAGCGGTCAGAGTTGCATTCATGTGTGGTTCATGGTTGCAGTGAGAAGGCAATTTTAAAAGCTGTCCATCTTTTTCATGCAATGGAAAGCCATGGCGTGACGATCCCCTTTGCCATTCACAGCAGCTGCCTTCAACTGAGATTCATGATAACCTGTGAATGTGGGTCTTAAAGGGGTTGTGTTTGCAGAGTAAGTCTTATGTTGTTGTCTGTAGCCCTTAACCACTTTGGATGTAAATGGCGGCCAAGGAGCAGAAATCTGAGGCTGCGGATCCCTATTGTTTAGACTGAGCATCATTTGCCGAAATGCCAAAAGCTGCTTTGCGGAAGGTTTTGGGAATTGACTCAGTACTTTCGAACCAATTTTTTTGCCTTCCCTTTGTTAGAAAGAGAGAAGAAAACAAAAACAGAATTGCACTGCCATCTAGTGACTGTGTTCAAACAGTGCTGCCTACTGTCCGCACGTGCTCTTTTCAATTCTTGGTTGCAGCTCTTCTTGAGGTATTTGCTGTAATTGTTGCTGTTTGCGTTGTTTGCTGTTTGCGTTATTTTGTTAGGCTCCTGGCTTGACACTTGTTGCTCTTTCGGTTCTAGTAAAGAAGATTCAGAATGGTCTTTTGCTAGTTCAGTGCCATCTGTGCTAACTCTGCAAGGTTTCCTGGGTTGCTCTGAAACTGCCAGAGACCCAACATGGGGGAAAGCATTGAGTTGTGAGCCTCTGCATTCAGTGGCAGATTTGCACAGCTTTCTTGGGAGGCAGTGGAATCATTGATAAAAGGTGTTATTGTTTGGAGGCTTCTACGAAGGTGGGTTTCTCAATGAATCACTGTTATTTTGGTTTAAATAGAAAAACATGACATGTACATGCAGTCCCTAAGTTAGAAACATCTAACTTCTAACTTACATCTAACATCTAATCTAACTTACAAACAACCCATAGTTATGAACAGGGATGAGACAACAGGAAGTGAGAGAATCTACCCTTTGGAAGGAAGGGAAATCTACTGGAAGAGTTATTGTAATGGGAGAAAGGGGGCTCACTAAAGCTTTCTCACCAAACCTTGTTTCCCTAACAAGTCAAATATTCCAAAATCTAATTATTACGGGGACAGAAAGTGAGGTGAGACCTTCTGAAGAGGTGCCCAGGCCACAGGGGAGTTAACCCCTTCCTGTGTGATCCAAAGCTTATATATAAACATTAATTGGGTACCCAGTGTTGCCCAGGTTATTTGAAAAAGTCGGGATTTAATTGTACAAAATGCATAAGGTTGTGGGTGAACTACAACCCATATCATGCCAGGTTAACCCCGAGAAACTCCATCAGTACTTAGTTTGTTAGATGCATCATTGTTGGGGTTCAGCGTGCTCTCTGGCTGCAGGGTAAACTACAACTCCCATTATGGTGAGTCAGTCTCCTCAAACCCCTTCAGTAGGTTGAGTTCTGTGTACCAAGTTTGGTCCAGGTCCATCATCAATGGAGATCACCCTTTCTCTGGTTGTGGGTGAACTACAACCCCCAGAAATAAAGGTCAGAGTCCTGCAAACCCCTCCGGTCATCAAATTTCAGCATATCAGATATGTGTGCCAAGTTTGGTCCAGATCCATCAGTGTTTGGGTTCACAGTGTTCTCTGGATGTAGGTGAACTACAACTCTCCTACAGTATTTTTTGCTGGTCATGGGGACTCTGTGTGCCAAGTCTGATCCAATTCCATCTCTTTTGGAGTTCAGAGTGCTCATTGATTGCAGGTGAACTATAAATCCCAGTACCTACAACTCCAAAATGTCCAGGCCAATTCCTCTCAAAACCCACCATCGGTGGAGATCACTGTTTCTCTTGTTGTGGGTGAACTACTCCCAGAAATGAAGGTCAGTTCTCCACAAATCCCTCTGGTAATCAAATTTTGGCATATCAGGTATGCATGCCAAGTTTGCTCCAGATCCATCATTGTTTGGGTTCATAGTGAGCTCTGGATATAGGTGAACTATGTACAACTCATCAAAACTCCTCCAAAGTCCTCCAGTATTTTTTGTTGGTCATTGGGGTTCTGTGTGCCAAGTTAGTTCCAGCTCCATTGTTGGTGGAGTTCAGTGTGCTCTTAGATTGCAGGTGAACTCTACATCCCAGGACCTACAACTCCTATTTATTTATTTATTTATTTACATCATTTCTATCCCACCCATATCAGCCTGGAGGCGACTCAGGGCGGTATACACAGTCGGCACAATTCAATGCCATAAAATACATACATTAATAAAGCAAAAACATTAAAGTGCATTTAAACATAAAGACAGTGCATAATAACAATTTAAAAAGAACTATGTCCTCTCATTCAATCCTCAACCGTTCCATTGTCTTGGTCATTCCTGGGTCATATTCCAGCTCTAGTTTTTCTTTTTATTCCGGGATTCCGAATGCTTGCTCGAAGAGCCAAGTTTTTACTTGTTTTCGGAAAGTCAGGAGGGAGGGGGCTGATCTAATATCCCTAGGCAGGGAGTTCCACAGCCAAGGGACCACCCCAGAGAAGGCCCTGTCTCTCGTCCCCGCCAGACGTGCTTGCGAAGCAGGCGGGATCGAAAGCAAGGCCTCCTCAGACGATCTTAAGTTCCTGGAGGGTTCGTAGGAAGAGATGCGTTCAGATAGATAGACTGGGCCGGAACCGTTTAGGGCTTTATAGGCTGAAGCCAGTACTTTGAATTGAGCCCGGTAGCAAACTGGCAGCCAGTGGAGCTGATGCAGCAGAGTAGTTGTGTGCTCCCTGAGTGCCGCTCCTGTTAGCAACCTGGCTGCTGCACGCTAGACCATTTGAAGCTTCCGGGCCGTCTTCAAAGGCAACCCCACGTAGAGCATGTTGCAGTAATCTATACGGGATGTAACCAGAGCATGGACTACCGTGGCTAAGTCAGACTTCCCAAGGTACGGGCGCAGCGGGCACACAAGTTTTAATTGTGCAAATGCTCTCCTGGTCACCGACGAAACCTGGGGATCCAGGCTCAGCGATGAATCCAGGATCACACCCAAGCTGCGAACCTGCGTCTTCAGGGGGAGTGTAACCCCGTCTAACACAGGCTGTAACCCTATACCCTGTTCGGCCTTTCAACTGACCGGGTGTACCTCTTGTCTTGTCTGGATTCAATTTCAATTTGCTAGCCCTCGTCCAGTCCGACACAGCGGCCAATCACCGATTCAGGACCTAAACAGCCTCCTTAGTAGTAGGTGGGAAGGAGTGACAGAGTTGGGCATCATCTGCGTACAGATAACACCGCACCCCGAAACTCCGGATGATCTCCCCCAGCGGCTTCATGTAGATGTTAAACAACATGGGGGACAGTATAGAGCCCTGTGGGACCCCACAAGACAATGGTTGTGAGGTCGAGCAGTTGTCCCCCAACAACAAAATGTAAATCATAGTGAATTCTCCTGTTTGCTGTGCACCATAGAAAAGAATAGGAAAGGGTTATGGGAGGAGCAGTGCGCGGAGTCATGCAAATTCCACACCAATGAAGAAAGTAAGAAACACTGGGATGACTATGGTGCAGGAAATGTATAGAATCTAGGATGAAATTATTTCCGTAGGAAAGCCTTCATTTGGGTGGTGTGCAGTATGGTGTTTGTGGAGGACATTGGCAGGGCTCTTGTACATGTTCACGGCACTCACTATAACCTGCAATGTCATTGGAGGGAGGGACATTGGTGTCTCCTGACTAGTGGGAGCTATAGCTGTTCGTGGAGGCCGGAGCTTGTTTGTGTAAGTGGATATCCAGCCGCACATATTTTCACTTTGATTATGTGTATGGATATTTGGTGGGAGTTACACTTATAAAATGCACTTACATAAACATTTAAATTAAGAACAAACCTACAGAATCTATCTTGTTCGTAATTTGGGGATTGCCTGGATTCAACTCCATTTTATTAGTGTATGCCAGTGTTTCCTCCTGTATTCATTAGGTCACCTGAAGGGTTGTCAGTATCTGGTGTTACATTTCCAGTAAATGAAAATCAACAAGCAACCAGATATGTGATGCTAGATATATGAGGTTTTAGAACTTAAGTGAATCAGTCCACATTTGCACCTACAGCCCTTTCTTTTCTTTACAAAGACGTGTTTCTTCAGGCAGTGTTGGCAGGTGTCTCTTTCATTGAGAAATGAGAGGAAACGGTTGCTTTTGTCCTGGCCTGGACTGATTCTCAAGCAGGGTTTTTTTTTTTAACTGCCAGTGCTTTCCTGTTTGCTGCCAGATGCCCCATGTTTTGGGAAATGAGAGGTTGCTCGTGTGGCTTCTTTGGCAGAGGAAAACTGTGTCTCCCTGTTGTGAGGAACAGGTGTCTGCAAATGCGTTGGTCGAGTATTTCAATGTGCGGGAGAGGAGAGGAGTTACGGAAGACCGAACACAGCTTAGAAGCTTTGCCGTTTTTTGTAGAGGGAGTATGACATTATTTCTGGGAAAAGATCTTTAGAAAACATTTGATACAAATGCTGTGAATATACAGGCGGTATTTGGATAAACGTGCTTCAGGTGTACATCATAGAGTCAAGAAGCATTGTGTATAACACGCAAAAGCAGCCTGATGCCAAGGCAACAACTCTGATCCAAGGTAGCTTTCCATTGGACTGAGAATGAATTTGGAGCTCATTTATCATTATTTTTCCCCTCTATTTCTGGGGTTTGGTAAGCCACAGTTTCATACCGAAACTGTGAGTAGAAACAGAACGTCAGATTTGCTCCCCATGTACTCAGACACAAAATAACTGGAAATTATGTTGCTTGAAGTCACCACATTTGAGATTTGGAATGGAAGCTGGGATCGGAAGCTGGCCCTCTGCTCCCAGAGAAGAATTCTTGTTTTGCGTGCATGCTTGCGCTATGATTGAGACCCCAGGGTCCATCCAGGCCAACCCCTTTCTTCCATGCAGTAAAAGCACAATCAAAGCACCCCAACAGATGGCCATCCAGCCTCTGTTTTAAAACCTTCAAAGAAGGAGCTTCTACCAAACTTCACTATAGAACAGCTCTTGCGGTCAGGAAGTTCTTCATGATCAGATGGAATCTCCTTCCTTGTCATGTGAACCCATGGACTTTTGCTTTCTTCTCCCTCTGCATCTTTTTTTTTTTTTCAATGGCGGCGGCAATGTTTCAAAACCTGGTCTTGGCCGAGGGGTTTCGGGAAGCGCCTCCTCCTGCGAGCGCCTCCTCTGCTTCTTCCTCCCAGACCCAGGCACACCACCCTCCACCTGAGGCCGCTGCTGTGGAGGCCCAGTTCAGCTGCCCCATTTGCCTGGAGGTCTACCAGAAGCCAATCCGCTTTGCCTCCTATAGGCACGTGTTCTGCGGGGAATGCCTCCAGCCAGTGCCTCCAAGTGGCCTCCCCCCTTTGCTGCATGCCCTTTGACCCCAAGAAGGTGGAGAAGGCTTCCAGCGTAGAGAAGCAGTTCTCTCCCTTCAGGGCACCCGGCCAAGGCTGTAGCAAGAAGATGATCCAGGCAAAGATGAGGCCCCACAGTCATGTCCTGCACCAAGGTCCAAGAGCAGATGGCGAACTGTCCAAAGTTTGTCCCCCTTTGTCCCAACCTCTCAGCCCATTCCCAGCAATATCCCAAATCGTTCCACATTTGTCTGCCCTTATTGCGGAGCCCGGAATTTGGACTAGCAAGAATTGGTGAAGCACTGTATGGAAAACCACCGTAACGACCCCAATAAAGTGGTCTGCCCGGTCTGCTCAGCCGTGCCTAGGGGCAACCCCAGCTATAAAAGTGCCAACTTCTTACTGCATCTCCTCCACCGGCACAAGTTCTCCTGCGACATATTTGTGGACTACAGCATCAATGAAGAAGCTGTGTTGCAATCTGCCCTTGCGCTCTCCCTTTTGAAAAACTGAGGCCAAACTTTGGGGCCACCGTGGGATATTGCCATGCCCTCAATATGGACCTTTCCCCATATTTTCCGTAATGGAGGGGACCAAGTCCTCATCCCTTTTCATCGACATTTGTCCAGAGAAATAATTCCCAAGAATGGAAGGAACCGGATGCTGGCGACGAAAGCTCCATCCATCTCTGAGTTCAGATTTTGGCTTGGTTGGCCCTTTTTCTGTACTCCCCCTCCCCGTTTACAAGGGGATGTTATTTTATTAAAATGCCTTTAATGAGATTTTCGTACCATTCTTCCTTTTTCCTCTTCTGTAGTTTACATAGCAGCAAAAGCATTTCAACAATCGTCCGCATTTTCCTTAAAAATTGAGATGAATTTGTTTATTATTATTATTATTATTATTATTATTAAAAACTCAACGGGCATGGAAGATCTAAAAACATTATTATGTATTTTGTGCTTTTATATTGTGAGTCGCTCCGAGTCCCTCTGGAGAAAGGAAGCGAGATATAAATAAAGTTGTTATTATTATTTGATACACAATAAAATTAGTACACAGTAAACAAGATCACTGGCTTTTATATTTGATCACATGTCGGATCACAATACTTGATCACATGTCGGATCACAATACTTCCCAAGTATTTAGGACTGTGTGTTGTATCAGCGAATTATGTGTGTAGATCCAAGTAGGGTGGCCTTTTGCAGCTGACATGATAATTTTGTCAGAGCCTATTGTTTTTAAGTGCAGCCAAGGTCTTTAGGCATTGCACCCAGTGTGACGATCACCATTGGTACCACCTTTACTAGCTTGTGCCAGAATCTTTGCAGTTCGATCTTTAAATCCTCATATCATTAAGCTTTTCCAGTTGCTTCTCGTCAATTCTGCTGTCACCTGGGATTGCAACATCGACGATCCATACTTAGTTTTTTCCACAATTGTGGGGTCAGGAATATTGTGCTTCAAAACTCTTTCAGTCTGAATTCGGAAGTCCCGGAGGAGTTTGGCATGATGATGATGATGGTGATAGCGCCATTGAGGCCTATCCTCCAGGGGAGTAGAAAACAAATCCCTCCCTCCCTCTATGTGCAATGCATAGATATTGGAAATATTTGAAAGAAACACTGGAGGGGAAGGAGTTGTATCTCTAAAAGTAGTAATAACACAATGTAATGTGTGTAGATTGAGTTGTGATCTTGCTGTGATGAAATTCCCATGGACTGGCATCACACGTAAAGCCCAGCGAGGCAAAATATTTCCTCTGAGTAGGGTACTCTCTCCTCCTGTATGTGTATTCACTGCAATATAATATAACGTATGTGCCATGTGATGATTCTTTGAACTTTTCTTTTGCAGATGGAAGACGGTCATTCCCTTTTTGACTACAGTGTTGGCCTGAACGATATTGTGCAGCTACTGGTGCGGCAGAGCCCTGCCCTCCAGCCGGCAGCCGGCAAAGAGAAGGACTCTGAACTATCCGACACCGACTCCGGCTGTGGCCCCAGCGAATCAGACAAAAGCTCTAATAATGGGGAAGGCTCTGTAGAGATGGAAGGGCATCCCAGCGTGGCTGCTCCCCACGACTTGGTGGACCCAGGCTTTGGGTTCTACAAGGTGAGAGAAGTGCAACATTTCAATTACACCATGTAACATAATTTCTTTGTTCTTAGGTTATAAATGTCATTTCTTAATTGGTTCTATCATCTAAACATGGGGAAAGTATACTAAACTGCAAAAATGTTGCAGTTTAATCTACTGCAAAGGTCATAAAATAAGATTGATCATTAATTCCATGCAGGTTACTTTTTTGCTTTTGGCTTTCAGATCAATGAGTTGGTGGATGCACGTGACACCAGCATGGGTGCCTGGTTCGAAGCCATTGTGGTCAACGTGACCCATAAAGGCGAGGCAGCCAGCAAGGCACCCGAAAGCGATGAGGAAACGGACCTGCCGGAAGTGATCCCTGACGAGGACATCATCTATCATGTGAAATACGAAGAGTGAGTTGATTCTCGTTTCTTGTGCGGTTTTGAAATCGTTCACCTCTTGCTCTCAAACATATGATGAAGCCAGATATTGATTTAGCTCTGGATTTAGCTCTGGATGCAAAGATTCTACATTTTTCTTTACTCTTAAGTCTCCAAACGTGGAGCTGAAGAGTTGGATTGGGGTTGTCTTGGCAGCCTTGGTTAGTGATTCAGGCAGGAAAGAAAGAGCATGGTTGCTAAAGATTAGTTGTTGTTGTTATAATTATTATTATTATTATTATTAAATTATTCTTTCTTGAGCTGGACTGTGGTAGTTCAACTGTTATGTGATTATTATTAATCAGCGATAGGTATTATTGAACTATTTTTGTTGCACTCCAGGCCTGGAAACACCTATGACCACCACACCACACAAGAATCCAGGAATATAAGCAAACAGTTTATTGTAAAAAAAAATACAAAAAATACAAAAATCAGGAATAAGAAAGGTAGATATATAATCCAAAAAGGTTTAGCAAAAAGTAAGAGCCAAACAATAATCCAGATGTCTCATAAAGTTCAAAAAGTGCCAAAGTCCAGGAACAGCCAGGAATCAGAGATACAGCATAAGTCCACAATCAGGAAGATATAACTAGTAAGACGAACAGGAGTATATGAACAGGAACATAGAAAACTTCCAGGATATATTAAATCCAAAATCAAGCTTGACTTGAACCAGGAACAAGAGAACTCAGCCTTAGCTTCTCACTCCAACGCAGCATTGCCTGAACTGATCTTAAGGTAAACAACTTGTTGTTTAATGGAAACCCACAAAATCATTCCGTTTCCCATGAACTTCTTTCACAACTTTCCCAAGTAATCTCTGTGAACAGCACAGCCTATTTTTGGCTCTGATTTGTAAATGAAGACTTTTGTTGATCCCCGTAGCTCCAGGTGGGTTGCCATGGGAACCTTCCTTATCACTCAGCTCTTCACTCGATTCCTTATCTGCTGTTGCTACTTCTGACTCCTATGAATGCCCTTGAGGTCCTGCACTTTCCGAGCCGGTTTTCTCACAGAGAACCATCGTTTCCCAGACTTGAAGGCCCATCACTTTGTGCCATGTTATGCATTCCTGGAATTTGTAGTTTGGTGAGGCATACACATCCCGGGAAGGCCCGGGACCATATAAAACAGGCATGGGCAAACTTTCTAACTTGTGGGCTGCGTGCTAGCACTCCCTGCTAAGAGTACTGGCTGCCCGATGATGGAAGGGAAGGAAAGAGAGAGGAAGGAAGGAACAAAAGCATGGAAGGAGAAAAGGAGAGAAAGAAGGAAAGAAAGACAAGGGAAGAGGAAGGAAGGATGAAAGGGTGTAAGGGAAGGATGGAAGGAGAAAGAGGGAGAGAGGAGGGAGGAAAGGGAAGTAAATAAAGACAAAGGGGAAGGGAGGAAGAGAAGGAAGGAAAGATGAAAGGGAGGAAGGAAAGGATTGATGGAGAATGAGGGAGGTAAGGGAGGGAGTTAAGGAGGAAGGAAAGACAAAAGGGAAGGAAGGATGAAAAGGTGGAAGAGAAAGATGGAAGGGAAGGAGAAGGAAAGAAGGATGAAAGGGAGGAAGGAAAGGATGGAAGGTAAGGAGAGAAGGAAGGACGAAAGGGTGGAAGGGAAGGACGAAAGGGTGGAAGGGAAGGAGGAAGGAAAAGTAAGGAAGGACAGGGAGGGAAGGAAGAAAGGGAGGGAAGGAAGAAAAGACAAAAGGGAAGGAGAGAGAAAAGGGAAGGAAGAACAAAAGGGTGGAAGGAAAAGAAGGAGAGAGGGAAGGAGGAAGGAATGAGAGAAGGAAGTATAGGATGGTGAGAGAGAGGAGGGCCTGAGAAAAGAGCCCAAGGAACTCCATCTGGGCCTGGGTTTGCCCATACTTTTATAAAATTATAGCCCCCATGTCTCCATAGCATTAAAACAAGGCTGTTAAAATGGATTCTTTCTACAGCATAGATGCATTCCAAGGTTTCATTTTCTGTCGCTGGAAGCTTTGCTGTTTTAAATTACAAAGAGTATCCTTGTTCTTCTGTACATTACATTTGGCAGCAAATACTTTTTTACTTTCAAGATTTTGAAAATGGAGGTGCACCTTAGATTCGATGGCACCTTAGATGAGTCAATATTGTTATTTGGTAATCACACGGTTTTTGAGAGCCGCTTTGCCGAAAGAGAGCGGATTCATTTTCTGGGTTTCAACCTAGTTATCCGGAGAACGGGGTCATCCAGCTGAGCTCCAAGAATGTTCGCGCTCGTGCTCGGTCGACTCTGAAGTGGGAGGAACTGGGCGCCGGGGATGTGGTGATGCTGAATTACAACCCGGACGATCCCAAGGAGCGGGGCTTTTGGTACGACGCGGAGATCCTCCAGAAGCGAGAGAGCCGGACGTACAAGGAGCTGTATGCCAAGATCGTCCTCGGGTAAGGAGCTCAAGGCATCTTGCCCATCTTCCTAGTATCCTGTCACTTCTTTGACGCCGTCAATTCTGATCCGCTTTCTTTTCCAGGGATGGCGGGGATGTCCTGAATGACTGCCGGATCACTCTGGTGGACGAGATCTACAAAATCGAAGAGCCCGGGCGTGCAGTTCCCCTCACCATTGCAAGCCCAATGAAAAGTGAGCCTTGTTCCTCTCCAACCAGAGAGAAATACCACCTCAAGGACCGTTCAGTCCAACCCAGTTTCTGTCAGGCTGGTAGACACTATCAAAACCCTCCCAACAGATGGCCATCCAGCCAACTAGACATTAAGTTCATGGAGAAATTGAGCTATAGATTCAAAGACTCCTAGAGTTGGAAGAGACCACTAGAGGCCATCCAGTACAACCTCATTCTGCCACTAAGAAAGACACATTAAAAGCCCTCCTGAGAGATGTCCTCTCAGCCTCATAGACATTAGAAGGTTCATAGAGAAACAGATCTGTAGGATCATAGAATCCTAAGTGTGAAGGGATCCCCAAAGAGGACCATCCAGTCCAATTCCTTTCTGCCAGACAGCACAATCAAAACATTCCCAACACATGGCCACCCAGCCTTGACTTGATTAAATCAAAACACAGATAGGTAAATATAGATGCCTATTGAGATTTTTTAAAAGTATTAAATTAACACTTGTTTCAAAACAAAGATTAACAACTATTTCCAAAGGTTTGCACTTATTGCCGAAGGGCTGGAGCTTATTTCTTATCTTCCTAGGGAGAGAGTTCCAGAATTAAGGAGTAGCCTCTATCTTGCATTCAGACTCAGTGAAGCCCTTGAAAGTATCAGGACAGAGAGAAGCGAAGAAACACAGAATCTGCTGGAGTTTGGTGGCTTGGCATCTTCCTTTTGTTCATCCCGTGAGTCTTTCTGTGCCTTCCTTCCTGCAGGACAGAGTGGGCCCGTTTGTAAGCACTGCAAGGACAACCCTAGCAAGACGTGCCGGATGTGTGCCTGCTACATCTGTGGTGGGAAACAGGACCCTGAGAAGCAACTCATGTGCGATGAGTGTGACATGGCCTTCCACATCTACTGCCTCAACCCCCCTCTCAGCCGAATACCTGACGATGAGGATTGGTAAGTCACAGTGGACGCCTATAGCAGGAAGCACAGAACTAGAAGGGGCCCTCGGAGGGCATCTAGTCCTACCCTCTTCAGCCAAGCAAGGAGACACAGTCAAAGCCCCCCCAACAGACAGCCATCTAGCTTAGGTTCCAGAGAAGGAAACCCCGGCAGACTAGTTAGAAGAGACTCCCAGAGGGCATCTAGTCTGCAGGAAAGACTGTATTGCCTGTTTACTGCTTAACATGCCATAAATACCATTCCCACCCCCAATAATACAGGTATTGCCCAGAATGCCGCAATGATGCGAGCGAAGTGGTTCTGGCCGGCGAGAAGCTGAAAGAAAGCAAAAAGAAAGCCAAGATGGCTTCTGCGAATTCATCTTCCCAGCGGGACTGGGGAAAGGTGAGCGGAGCCCAGTTTTTCCATATTTTGCGGGCCTTTAGTACTGAAGAATGCTGAAAAATGGAAAAGTCTGTATGCGCGTGCACGTTGCTCTGGGGCGTGGTGTGTCTTACTTGGTTTTGTAATACTGTATTTGGCTTCCTTTGATACAGTCCAAATCCTCCCGACAGATGGCCATCCAGACTCATAGACATTCACAAGTTTTTGGAGAACTATGTCTACAGGATCCTAAAACTGGAAACCCCAAGGGCCATCCAGTCCTACCCTGTTCTACTAGGAAGGAAAAGCACAATCAAAACCCTCTCAACAGATAGCCATCCAACCTCATAGACATTTCCAGCTTCATAAGGCTGTAGAATCATAGAATCCTAGAGTAGAAAGAATCCCAAAGGCCATCTGGTCCAATCCCATTCTGTCAGGTAGAAAGTCACCATCCAGAGCCTCCCGACAGAGGCCCCATAGACACTAGAAGGTCCATGGAGAGAAATACGGTTATAGAATCCTAGAGTTGGATAGGATCCACAAGGACCATCCAGTCCCAACCCCATTTCTGACATGTAAAGAAGGCCCTCCCAATAGATGGCCATCCAGCCTCTGTTCAAGGACCTACTGAGAAGGAGCCTCCTCCACATTCCAAAGCAGTGAAATCCACTCTCGAGAGCCCTTACAGTCCTAATCTTGATGTGGAATCTCTTTTCCTGTCATGGCTCTATTGAGGCCTAGTCTCCAGGGCAGTAGGAATCAGCCTGATCCCTCTTCCATATGAAACTCTTTCAGATATTGAAACATGGCTCTCTCGTTTAAGGCTTTATCGAGTGTCCGGAGAAAGGGTTGGACTGCAACCTCCAGCAGCCTGAGTCAACGGGGTGTGGAAATAGCAATCTTCTTCAAGCCTCCACTAGTTATTTGTTGTGTATATAATTCTGATGGCTTTCTGTATTGTATATGTGTGTATTGGTATGCAGTTTTCCTTAACTCTATGTTGTAGGCAGGACTGCAGACCGTGTGACTAGATCTGAGACTATTCAGATCTCAGACTCCTTTTTAGAAACAGCATGCTTTAGAGCAGCCGTTCTCAACCCGGGGGGTTGCAACCCCTAGAGGGGTTGATCAGAAGTTTCAGAGGGGTCACACCACCGCCTCCTTCGGTTCTGCCTCCACAGAATGGCTGCCGGCACCCTCTGCCAGGCAAACAGCCAGCCTGCACTGAAAGGTCTTTCTCGCCTGGCTCTTAATTTGGGCTGACGTGTCTTTAACCGGTGGCTGTTGTTTGATTCCCTTCAAGGGCATGGCGTGTGTTGGCCGCACCAGGGAATGCACCATTGTCCCCTCAAACCATTATGGGCCGATTCCCGGGGTTCCTGTTGGCACCATGTGGAAGTTCAGAGTCCAGGTGAGACCACTGTTTCCAGGACAGGGACTGAAATTGGACGGGTGATAACAGTCCGGTCCCAAAAGCAACTCCTCGAAATGGTGTTTTTTCAGGTGAGCGAGTCAGGGGTCCACAGACCCCATGTTGCCGGCATCCACGGCAGGAGCAACGACGGAGCCTATTCTTTGGTCCTCGCAGGAGGCTACGAAGATGACGTGGTGAGTTATGGCTTTCCAAACTTTCTGTGTTGCGGACACGCTTTTTCAACGTGCATACTTTTGGGCCATGGGAATTCAGTTTTATTGGCAAAGCAGTGTTTAAACTATCCTCGTATAAGAGTTTCATACAAAATTTTTTATATATATATATATATATATATATATATATATATACACACACACACACACACACACACACACACACACACATATATGAGAAATATATTGTATTTTTATATTACATAGTGTTACATAAAACTATAATATTTTAATACTAGCTTGGGTATTCTGCGTTGCCCAGGTTATTTGAAAAAGTCAATTTTTTAATTGTACAAAATGCGTTAGGTTGTGGATGAACTACAACTCACATCATGCCATAGCTATTTGTGGAGGCAGGAGCTTATCTGTGTAAGTGGACACCCTGCCACATACATATACAAATTTTCTTTTTTTTCACTTTTATTACACACATAAAAATCACTTTTATTATTATTATTAGAAGAACAGATTGATATTATATTTTGTATTTTTCCATTTTTTTACATAGTGTTATATGAAATTATTATAATAGTTTCATATAACACTATGTAACAAAATATGAAAAAAATCTGTTCCTGGATTGAAAGTGTTATTTCCTGTTGAATTGCGCAGTCCTTACTTTGAAAGTAGTTCTATTCCAGAAATGTTGTTTTTGTGGCTGTCACAAATCTGGTTGAATTGGCTGAGACTTGATGATACATCTATTGAAAAAGTATAGCAATATGTGCTGTAGGATGTCTGTCAAAATCAATGTTTTTGCACTTTATTAGCTTTTTCAATGTTTTTATGATATAACAAATTCGGAAATGACATTGATAACCCAGGAACAAAAAATTCTGTCGCTGACCAACTAATTGAACTGGCAGTTCGCAGACTTGGATTTGAACTCTATATAATATTATATTACTTCAGGACCATGGGAATTCCTTTACTTACACGGGAAGTGGCGGCCGGGATCTCTCTGGAAACAAGCGCACGGCAGAGCAGTCATGCGATCAGAAATTGACCAACATGAACAGGTGAGTCAACGCACAAAAAATCTCGTCTTTTTCATCTGCTTTTGACTTTATGGAGGTCTCGCCATCTCACATATTTTGATGTAATGTCATTATGTCAGGGCTCTGGCACTGAACTGCAGTGCTCCCATCAACGACAAGGAGGGCTCCGAGGCGAAGGACTGGAGGGCCGGGAAGCCCGTCCGGGTCGTGCGGAATGCGAAAGGAGGCAGGCACAGCAAGTATGCCCCCAAGGAAGGGAACCGTTACGACGGCATCTATAAGGTGTGCATATATACTTTAGGACGCAGAGGAAACTTGGTGCTTCGGGGACGAAGGGGATGCTGTCATTCTGATCCTCAGTCTTTAAGATGGGTCCTCAAACTTAAGCTGAGACCTAGTTCAGCATCCCTCAGACTGTTTGGGGGCCAGACTTAGCTTTTGTTGTTGTTGTGTTGCCTTCAAATTGTTTCAGACTCTCACAGAGTTTTCCTGCTGAGATTGATTCAAAGGGGATTTGACTTTGTCCTTTTCTGAGGCTGAGAAACAGGCACTTCCTTCCCTCTCTGTTTCCTACCTACATTCCTTCCTTCCTTTCTTACTCTCTCTCTCTCTCTCTATTTCTGTTTCCTACTTACATTTCTTCTTGTCGTGATCCAGGGCTCTGCCAGTATGCAGGCAGAGGTGAACCAAAAACAACACCCAGCTTGTCTTCAAAAACTATTTTACTTAAAGCAGCACTTACTCATTTGGCTGTTTTCAAGGTTCAAGTTCAAAACATAACGATAGCACACAGCCACAGATACAAAGTGAAGACTTATATCAAGGAGAATACTACAACCACGGGTTCAGGAGAAAGAGTACACCGTAGTCAAGGTTGCAGTCCGGGAGTCAAATGCCAAGAGTTCACTGAATAATGTCCAAGGTTCAAGAGACCAAAGCGTAGTCCTTGTTCCAAAGGTCAAGCCAGAGAGTCCAGAGTTCAAGGGTGATCCAAAATACATAGTCAAGAGTCAGTCCAGGGATTCAAGGTACATCAAGGTTCCACACAAGATACAGTAACAGGGTTCTCACCAGGGTTCCAGGTTCTTCAAGGTACAAGGTTCCAAGAGTTCATAAGACAGGTCAGGATACCACAATCCCACAACCTGGGGAAAAACCCACCAGCATCCACAGCCAAGTATGACAAATACTTCTCTCCAAAGAGCAGTCTCTGCTCGGTTCTTTTTATGTAGCTGATCACAGCTGCATCCTGTCTGTGCAGCCCTCCACCCTTATCACTGCCCTCTGTAAGTACTTACATACAGATTACTTTGCCCTTTAGAACTAGGAGGAAGATTAACCCCTTTCCATACCTTTTGTAGCATCACCCCCCTACTGGTCATGATCAGCAGCAGAGTGACCCAGTACCAGTAGCCCAAAGGGATAAAAAGAACAAAAACACACAGACCAATGTTATCTCTTCCATACGAGGCTTTTCTTTGTTGTAAAATAGTATAATTGCACTATTGACAATAACAAAGTTTCCACAACACAAATAAAGTCCGTTATACTTCCTTCTTTGCTTCCACGCTGGACTTCTTTCTTATGCAGATAAACAGCTTTATTCTCACAGAGCCTCCTCCCAGACTGAACTTGCATAGGAGCTTTACACACAGCAGCCTTTATACACTGGAGCTTCACACATGAGACTTCTCTCACACAGAGGTTTACCTCACTGTCCTCAGAATGGCACTAGCTTTGGCCCACTAACTCTTAACAGGCTTCTGCCTACTCACTTTCCTCAGGACGACACTAGCTTTGGCCCACTGACTCTTAACAGGCTTCGACTCAGGACAACACTAGCTCTAAAATGCTTCAGCCTACTCACCTCAGGATGACACTAGCTTTGGTCCACTGACTAACAGGCTTCAGCCTACTAACTCCTTTAGTGTTTGACTCACATTTTAAAAATAAAAAATACATAATTAATTTTTAATATTTCTGACACATTCCACTACCAACCACCATCAACTGCTGGACATGACACTTCTCTTCCTTCCCTGTGGTTGTGTCCTTCCTTTTTCTTCTTCTTTCTGTTTCCTAACGACCTTTCTTCTCTTCCTTCCCTCTGTTTCCAACCTTTCTTCCTTCCATCTCTTACTCCTACCTTTCTACTTTTCTTCTTTTCCTTCCTTGTTTCCTACCTCCCTTTCTTTTTCCTTTCCTTCTCCCCTCCTTCCTCCCTCTGATTTGGGGGGAGCAGGAATGGGGTGGAGAGATTTCCTTCTGTTTTGGGGAAAAATAGAGAGAAGAAAGGAATTGAAAGGAGAATTAAGGAGCAAAAAGAGGGTTGAGTAACGGCAAGGCATGAATGGCTGCAGCAGTTTAACATTTAGAGCAGGGGCCGAGTAAATGACTTTGTGGGGTCTTTGTTTGGGGACGCCTGCTTTCAGAGATGCCTGCGAGGGTCCACTTGTTTCCTTATTATGAGTCTCCGCTCCTAAGATCTCATCAAAGGGCATCTCTCCCTTTGAACCACTGCAGCTCCCATAGATGCTGAGTGTCTGAACCCAATCACTGCCATTTTCTGGATATCTTTCAGGGCCATAGAAGAGTAAGATCACCTCAAAATAGCGTTTCAAGGCTTTGTTGTTATTGTGCATCTCAGTCCTAACTGTCTGTGCTAATTCTTCCGCTGTCTTCTCATAATCCTAGCTGAACCTAACTCTCCTAACTGAGTCTTAACTTCCTCCTTCCTGACTCCTGTCTGTTCACACTTCGCAGCCTTCTCTCTTAAGTAAGTCTGTTTCCTCGCTCTGACTGAGTTGCACCTTTTGCTTTTCAAAATCCCTTCCAATCATCATCAGTCTGCCATCAACATTTCATGCTTCCTTCCCCTCCCCTCCGATCCATATCTTATTACATGTGTGATCACAGACGTAACTTTACTTTAGCTTGGGTGTTTGAAACTTTCTCCCCTTTTCACATTTTCCTCAATATCTTTATCATTAACCATGAACACACTTTTCTTAGTCTTTGTACAATACTTGTATTGGCTTCACCACTTTTTATCAATGTAGATCAAACATGGGCAAACTTTTTACCTTGGGGTGCGCATGCTAGTATTAGCTGCCTGGTGATGCAAAGAAGGAAGGGAAAGAAGAAGGAAGGACAAAAAAAAAAGAAAGAAAGGGAAGGAGAAAGAGGGAGAGAGGCAAGAGGGAAGGAAGGAGAAGAGGGAAAAGGAAGGAAGGAAGGACGAAAGAGTGAAGGGGAAAGGAGGGAAGGAAGGAGAAAGGAAGAAAAGACAAGAGAGGGAAGGACCAAAGGGTGGATGGGAAGGATGGTAGGAAGAGAAGAGGAGGAAGGAAGGAAGGAAGGAAGGAGGGACGAAAGGGTGGAAGGGAATGGAGGGAGGGGAGGGACAGAAGAGAAGGAAGGAAAGACAAACAGGAAATAAGGAAGGAAGGAGAAAGAGGGAGTGAGGGAAAGAAGGAAGGGTGAAAGAGGAGGGACAGAGAAAGAGGGAGGGAAAGAAGGAGAGAGAGGGAAGGAAGGACAAAAGAGTGGAAGGGAAGGATGGAAGGAGAAAGGGAAGGACAAAAGGGGCTGAAGGAGGGAGGGAGGAGAAGGAAGAAAGGATGAAAGGGAATGGAGGGAAAGAAGGGAGGAAAGAGAAAGAAGGAAAGACAAATGGGAAAGAAAGAAAGAAGGACAAGGGGGGGAGGGGAGGGAAGGAGGAAGGATGAACCTGAGGAAGGTAAGATGGAAGGTGAAAGAGGGAAGGAAGGGAAGACGAAAGGGGGGGAAGGACAAAAGGGTTGAAGGCAATGGAGGGAGGGAAAAAGAGGAAGGGGAGGAAGGAAACAGAACAAAGTAAACACAGTGGAAAGGAAGGAGAAAAAGGGAGAGGGAAGGAAAGAATGCTGAAAAGGGTAGAAGAGGAGGGATGGAGAAAGGGAAGGAAGGGAGGGCGGGCTGAGAAAAGAGCCCAATGGGGCACGCACACATCTCCCCCCTCACAGGGCCTGGGTTTTCCCATTCCTGTGTTTGTGGAGGACATTGTACATGTTAATGGCTCTCTCTATAACCTGCAGTGTCATTGGAGGAAAGGCCATTGGTGTCTCCTGAGTAGTGGGAGCGATAGCTTTTTGTGGAGGCAGGAGCTTGCTGGGTAAATGGACACCCCCACACACAAACACACACATACATACATATTTTCATTTTAATGTGTATAGATGTTCTTGATGATATATTTATCATCTTTGATCATCAATATATATATCGCTCCTGTCAATCTTTTCTCTGATTTCTGTCCTTTTTAAAGTATACTTTCCAACGTAACTTTCTTTTCCCTGCATTCGCCATATTTCCCCTGTTTAAGTTTATTTTATAAGCCTAACATTTTTATCCATGAACAGATAATACAGTAATGCTCCATTATATATAATGTGTATATGTAATTGCTGTGTATGAGCTATTTACAGATTGTGTTATGTACTTGACAAAAAGGACTTGAAATAAAAAATGAAACTCTCCCCGTTTCCTTGTGAAGGTGGTGAAATACTGGCCCGAAACAGGGAAATCTGGCTTCTTGGTGTGGCGCTATTTGCTCCGGAGGGATGATGAGGAGCCGGCCCCTTGGACTCGGGAAGGGAAGGAGCGGATGAAGAAACTGGAGCTGACCCTTCAGGTACAACCACAAACAAAGTTAAAATCTTGGCATGATACTAAATGTCCTTTGACCAGAAGCTGACCACTTGGAGTGCCTCTGGTGTCGCTGTAAGAAGGTCCTCCATTGTGCATGTGGCAGGGCTCAGGCTGCATTGTAGTCAGTTGTCTGTGGTTTGCTCTTCTTCATACTCGCATGTCATAGACTCCACTTTGTAGCCCCATTTCTTAAGGTTGGCTCTGCATCTTGTGGTGCCAGAGTGCAGTCTGTTCAGCGCCTTCCAGGTCGCCCAACCTTCTGGGTGCCCAGGGGGGAGTTTCTCATCCAGTCCCAGCCACTGATTGACATTCCAGTTTTAAGCCTGCCACTTTTGGACTCTCGCTTGCTGAGGTGTTCCCGCGAGTATCTCTGTAGATCTTAGAAAGCTACATGACTTATTAAGAGCCACATCCACTGTTTTAACGTGGTGAGATGAATTCCTCACTGGGCATGCGTACTCAGCAACCGAGTAGCAAAGCACAAGGGCAGGTGCCTTCACTATGTCTGGTTATGATCCCCTGGTTATGCCAGTCAGCTTTCGTATGATATTATTCCTAGCACCCACTTTTTGCTTGCTATTCAAGCAGTGTTTTTTGTATTCAAAATGTTTTTGTTTTATAGTCAGTCCTTCTCATTTTATAACCGGATAGGAGCACATGGTCTTTGTCAAAGTGAAAAGTCACGAATTAAGACATTGCTATATAGTTTTAAAGTCATCTTCATGGATTTCTGGGTTTTCCCTCTCGTTCTGCCTCTGCCAAAAAACTGAGCATCACATGTCCCAAAGGACCTAGCGATTCCTAGATCAAATGAAAATGATCCCATCGTAGTCCAATAATAATGTTTTCTTGGAGGACTATGTAAAAATAGCGTAACCTTTTCCTATACCCCACTCCAGTATCCCGAAGGCTATCTGGAAGCTGTTGCGAGCAAAGAGCAAGAGAATAGCAAGACTCCCGAAGAGGTCGAGACCCCGGGGAAAGGGAAGCGGAAAAGGAAATCGGGTAAGTCAACTGCATTTAGTTGGTCTTTTTGCAGGTCTTTCATTTTTGTTCTAAAAGAGTCATCTATAATCATTCTTCTAACCAGGGAATGAGTCGGACCCCGCTCTTTCTCCTGCTGTGACCCCAAAGAAGAGCAAAGGGGAGACCTACAAGCTCACTCCCCAGCAGAAAGCGCTTATCCAAGAGGATGAAGCCAATGCAAAGCTGTGGAACGAAGCCCTCGAAGCCCTTAAAGATGGACCGGTATGTACGATGCAGATCCTTCCTTCCCTCAATGGGCCATGGGAAAAATACTGAAAGGAGTACAATAAATGAATACTAGTAATATCACTATGTAACAGAATTTACAAAATTTTCTGCCCCTGGTTTGAAAGTGTTATTTTCTGTTTAATTGTGCAGTATTTACCCTACTGATGGCTCAATTAATGTAACTTTATTGGTATCTATTTTTAATTTGAAATGTACCAGTACCTGCTGCATTTCCCTCCCTCAGTTTATACTCAAGTCAATAAGTTTTCCCGGGTTTTGGGGTAAAATTAGAGGATTTGGCTTATATTCGGGTTGGCTTATACTCGAGTATATACGATAGTTGTTCTACTCTAGAAACTTTGTTTTAAGGCTGCCACAAACTAGGTTGAATTGGAAAACATTGAAAAACTATAGCAAAATGTGCTGCAGGATGTCTGTCCCACCAAACCATGATAAATCGTATTAGGAAATGTCATGTATAACCCAGAATCAAAAATTGTGTAACATAGTGTAATACAGTGTGATGCTGCCAAGCTCTATTTTGTCTGCTCAAGCTGGTTTCTGGCCCTTTGTATGAAATGAGAACAATCCTCAAGGCCCCTCAACTCATCCAAACGCTTTCTTTTTTATGGCAGAAGTTCCTGAACAAAGTGGAGGAAACCTTTCTTTGCATCTGTTGCCAGGAGGTGGTCTTCCAGCCCATCACCACCGTCTGCCAGCACAACGTGTGTAAGGTGAGTGATCTTCGCCAAAAAGGGTTCCAAATCAGTTTTTGGTCAACTTTAGGTCCAGTTTGGTTATTTGGGGTGCTGATTCCACAAATTGCATTGGATAGACCACATCAGCTCTAGTTTCTGATACAGAACATATGCCATCCAGTAGTCGCCATCTGCTCACCCACAGAAACCATATTTAGTAGTCTAAAGCTGATGTGGTCTATCCAATGCAATTTTCTAAATCAACACCCCAAATAACACCAGGAACAGGCCTAAAAACAACACCAAGGCATCCCCGCTTCCAGGCGCCACATTAAAACGGCTGTGTTCGGGGGGAGGAAGGAGGAGGAGAAACAGTAGTCGGGAGGTTTGTTGTCGCTCCTTTCATGGGTAGTCAGCCTTTTTCCCTCCCGACATCCCTGTTGCCTCGGCAGTATGAGAGGGTTTTGCAGTTGCTCTCGTTGGAACGGTGTAGTAACAGTGAGGCCGCAGATCATATTTTAGTTCTTAGAGGACCACGGGTGTTCCATGCACCACAAGTTGGGAACCACTGCTATATACAGTCTTCAGTTGTGTTAGGACTGTCATTTGTCAGAATGTGATTTTCCTGCTTCTTGGCAGGGGGTTGGACTGGATGGCCCATGTGGTCTCTTCCAACTCTAGTATTCTATGAATTTCTGGTAGTTTTCACTGGCGAATCCCAAGTTTCCATGCGTATTGATTGGAAATGCGTACTCAGCAGCAGAGTAGCAACGTGCAATGGCAGATGTCTTCACTGTGTCTTGTTGTGATCCTCAGGTTTTAACAGTCAGCTTTCGTATGATATTATTTGTAGCATCCTCTTTTTACTTGATACTCAAAGCAGTGCTTCTTATAAGTCAGAGCATGGTCCAGAGTAACTCCCAGGTATTTTAGTGTGCTGCAATGCTCCAGTGGAATTCCTTCCCAGGTCATCCTCAGAGCTCGAGATCCTTGTCTGTTCTTAAGATGAAAAGCACACGCCTGCGTTTTACATGGATTAGGGATCAGCTGGTTTTCCCAGTAAAAGGCAGTAAGAGCATCTAAAGCAGTGGTTCTCAACCTGTGGATCCCCAGATGTTTTGGCCTTCAACTCCCAGAAATCCTAACAGCTGGTAAAGTGGGTGGGATTTCTGGGAGTTGTAGGCCAAAACACCTGGGGACCCACAGGTTGAGAATCACTGACCTAAAGCTTTGGAGAGCTTCTGTTCAATCATTTCAAAACTCCCTGCTTGAACAGTGATGGCATGATCATCAGCATAGATGAAACTGTCCCTTCTGGCACTGGTTCACCATTTGTGTAAATGTTAAACATTGATGGCACAAGCAGGCTCCCCTGAGGCAAGGCCGTTCTTCTGTTTTCGCCATTTGCTTCTCTGGCTATGGAACTCAACAAAAAAGCTCCTGTTTTGTAGCAGATTTCCTATAAAGCAGGTCAGGGGATAATCCTTTATGACATTATACATTTTTATACAGGGTCTGTTGAGGCCTAGTCGAAGCAAGAAAAGAAGGCCTTAGGTCATCCTTTCTGGTATTGAAACACGGGGCAGTTTCTTAACAGTGTGGGTCTTCTATCTTTGGTCTCAATGGACAATATTCTCTCTGCCACCACAATCAAAATGTATTAAGCCCTTGTTGCTTCCCTTCTAGGACTGTCTGGACCGGTCTTTCCGAGCTGAAGTGTATAGCTGCCCGGCCTGCCGTTATGATTTGGGGAAAAACTACCCAATGCAAGTGAATGAGCCCTTACAGAGCCTTCTCAGCCAGCTCTTCCCAGGCTACGGCAATGGACGGTGATTCCAGAAAGCACTTCTGATCTCCCTCCCTTTTCCCGTTGTTGCCCTTCCCTTTACAACCTTTTTTACGGGGCTGTGATGGGGCTTTTTATTTAAATACAAGATAGACTTTCTAAAGCTTACAAGTCCCCTTTTTGCCCCCTCTTTACTCAAAACGTATTCATGAGGGTAGTGCTTGATAAAGATTGCAGATTGACCTTTTGTTGTTGAAATTATAAATTGGGGAAGCATTTCCGTTCCTTTAAAACAAAAAAAAGAGTTAAAAATATATAAACCTGGCATGTTTGCTAGAACAATCTCCGCTAAGTGATGGATTTGGGCCATATGTTTGATGTATTTTCGATGGCAGTCATTATTATTATTATTATTGGTTATTACTATGTTGAAATGAGATCTTTAGCTTAGGATCATTGTAGACTTCTCTTTTTTGCTCATTCTTGAGGATTGCTGGCCTTTGCATCAAAGTTACTACCTCAAGATTATCAGTTCAAGAGTTGCTATATGGGGGAAAATATTGAAAAGCCATTTGAAAGTGCCTTTTTGGGGGGGGTTGACACCCCTTAAAAAGCACTAAATTTAGTCTTTTAGGAGGAGGAGATTATAAATTGTAATGCTGCCATTCCGTATCAGTAGCTTTAGATTTCCATCTAGCTGTGTCCCGTCCCCTGCTCATTCTCAATCTGCTTACTTAGAAATCAAATCTTAAAGCCTGTAACCTTTTCAATGGAAAAAGGCTTGATGGTTTTATATAAATATATCTATCCCGCAGTTGGTGTTTTTTGTCTTGTTTTCTGTTTTGCCTCAACAAGAACCAAACCTCTACAGCCGGTACCTCACTAAGAGTAATCAGGGTCAAAAGGAAATCACTGCTCATCTCCAACAGACTGGAACAAGTGTGTGTGTGTTTGTTTTTTAATGACTTGATAAATATATATCGTTTGGGGGAACGGAAACATTTTTCAATATGGTTTTGTACAAACAAGTTCTCAAAATAAAGTACTTTTTCATATTCGAATGAGTGTGGCTTTTGTGAAAGTCTCGAAACGTAACTGCCGCGTCAATATGGATTACTTATTTATTTATTTACAGTACATATATTTCGCCCTTCTCACCCCAGAGGAGACTTGGAGCTGGTCACAGAACACATATACGGCAAACACTCAATGCCGTTATACGCTGACAAGACAGACAACTGTACATAGAAGTATATTTAGGCTTTCCCATCTTTTTAAAGTATAAAGAACTAGCTAAACCTGGCCACGTTTTGCTGTGGCTCAGTCTGATATGAAATGAATGCGAAAGTAAATTCACAATTCAATACCCTGCTGTGTCTATATGGAATGAAAGGAAGGGAAAGGAGGTTTTTAACAGAAATTATTTTTATCGTAAACTTAGTGCAGCATTTCTCAACCTGGGGGTCAGGACCCCTAAGGGGGGGGGGGGCGCGCAAGGGGATGTCAGAGGGGTCATCAAGGATCATTAGAAAACACAGTATTTTCCATTGGTCATGGGGGTTCTGTGTTGGAAGTCTGGCCCTATTCTATCATTAGTGGGGTTCAGAATGCTCTTTGATTGTAGATGAACTATACATCCCAGAAACTACAACTCCCAAATGTCAAGGTCTATTTCCCCTAAACTCCATCAGTGTCCACATTTAGGCATATTGATTATTTGTGTCAAATTTGGTCCAGATCCATCATTGTTTGAGTCCATAGTGCTCTCTGGATGTAGGTGAACTACAACTCCAAAACTCAAGCTCAATGCCCATCAAAACCATTCCAGTATTTTCTGTTGTTCATGGGAGTTCTGTGTGCCAAGCTTAGTTAAATTCCATTGTGGGTGGAGTTCAGAATGCTCTTTGATTGTAGGTTAACTATAAATCCCAGCAACTATAACTCCAACATGACAAAATAAACGCCCCCCAACCTCACCTGTATTCAAATTTGGGTGTATTGGGTATTTGTTCCAAATGTAATCCGTAGACTGAAAATACATCCTGCATATCAGACATTTACATGATGATTCATAGCAGTAATTTTATGGTTGGGGGTCACCACAACATGAGGAACTGTATTAAAGGGTCGCGGCATTAGGAAGGATGAGAAACACTGACCTAGTGGATTGACTACATTTTTGGTTTGTCCATTTTCTACATAAACCCAAAGATCAGATGGTTTACCGACTCGAGCATGCGATGTGTAAGTGCCCATGAGAGAAGCAATTGTTTTCTAAATTCAAACTGCACACTTGCAAAGATTTCCCCTGCGCTTTATTGATAGTCATGGTGAATGCAAGGCGTATTGCAAATTGAAGTCGTTTGAACTTGAATGCCATGTTGGTTTGAATGAACGGTATTCATGGAAATAGTACGTCTTCATCTTTATGAGGTCCATTCAGAATTGTTGCCTCAGTTAGATTGTTCATCAATTTTTAAACTACTAATCATGTACCATTGCATAACTGGAGCCCCCAGTGGTGCAGTGGGTTAAACCCCTGCGCTGGCAGGACTGAAGACCGACAAGTCGCAGGTTCGAATCCGGGGAGAGGCTGATGAGCTCCCTCTATCAACTCCAGCTCCTCATGCAGGGACATGAGAGAAGTCTCCCACAAGGATGATAAAAACATCAAATCATCCAGGCGTCCCCTGGGCAACATCCTTGCAGATGGCCAATTCTCACACTAGAAGCGACTTGCAGTTTCTCAAGTCGCTCCTGACACGACAAAAAAAATTGCATAACTGGACAAGGTACTGCAAATCCCATCATCCTTGGTCCATCCTTCTATTCGCAACAGGACATGGAGTGGGACATGGGAGGTTTGTGTGTCAAGTTTGGCCCTGATCTGCCATTGGTGTGAGTCACAGTGGTCTGTGGAAGCCCAATCAGGTGAAGGTACTGCAAATCCCATCTATGGTATGTCCTCCCACAATCCTCTTGTTGTTTATTCGTTCAGTCGCTTCCGACTCTTCATGCCTGCAATCCACAAAAAGACGTAAAGTGGATCATGGGGTATCTGCCAAGTTTTGCCCAGGTCCCTCATTCGTGGGGGTCACAGTGGTCTGAGGGGGAATTCAGGTGAAGGTACTGCAAATCCCATTATCTATGGTCCATCCTCCCCCAAAGCACTGTTTTGAGTGTTAGTAGTTGTTTATATGTTCATTTGTTTTTAATTGTATTCTAAAATTATTTTCATTATACGTTCTGCTTTTAGGCAGCTTGTGCTGTGTGTAAGCCACTCAGAGTCCCTTTGGGGAGATGGTGATGGGATATAAGAATGTAATAATAATAATAATAATAATAATCTTGGAGGTGCGTGATTGGTTCTGACTATGGTGTGTGTGTGTGCATGCTGTCATTCCATATTCCCAGCTGAAGAGCTTTGTTCATAAACTTCCTCCTTGATTGAATCACCCGCATTTTTCTGGCATTTTCTTATGGGTGCCTTAAATGCCTCCCCGCTTAAGAGGTACCTATTTATCTAGTCACATTGCTGTTTTCGAAACTGCTAGGTAGGCAGAAGCTGGGCTAAAGGCCAGGAGCTCACCCTGACCCAGGTTTTGAACTGTTAACCTTTTGATTGGCAAGATTTAGTGCAACTGGCAGTTAACCTGCTGTGCTAAAGCCAAGGCAAGAGGGGGCTGTTCGCACTTCTTTTGCTTTCCCTCCCCTCCTATCTTGCCCCCTTTCACTTCCATCCCTTCTTTCCTGTCGTAAATCCTGTGAATCGCACATATGGTAACTCTGCGCCTGCGCAGCTCAGCGTTCGGAACCTTTTGAAAAGTAAAAAGACCGTTTAAACTCCCTCTGGCCACGCGCCCCCTCCCCTCCCCTATATATAGCCCGGGGCAGTGGCCGTTACTCAGTTCTCTTCTTTCCGCGCTAAAGCGATCAGCAAAGGAACCTTTCCGTTTTTTGAACGATAAGGATACTGAAGAGAATTATCAAATTATGGCTACTACAGCCTTTAAGAAATGTAGAAACTGTCCAAATATTCTTCCAGATACAGATGGACACTCACTGTGTCTTGAATGCCTAGGTGAGGGGCATCTCTCACAATCTTGTGAGATTTGTGCAGCCTTCACTCCTCAAACGAGGAAAAATAGATTATCGCGGCTCAGAGCGGCACTTTACGAGAAGGCTCTGAGACCCCAGTCTACTCAAGAAGCTTCCCATGAACAACCCTCCTTACCTTTAGGGGGGAAGAAAAAAATAAAGAAGATCAAAAATAGCGGCCTCCAAAATGGCCGCCAATCCGCTGTGACGAAGAAACTCCCAGTGAAGAAAATAAACTCTTCCACCACGGAGCGTGGGGGAGAGAGGCCGAATAATTCAAAAAACCTGGTCGTTGGAGGCATTGAAGGCCCCATTGCAGCGAGTACGATTCCTTCGGCATCGTCTAGAATGCAGTCCGATTGAGAAATCTCTCATATGCAGACTGCTGGAGGGGCGACGACCAATGGTCTGACCCCTCCAATGCCGCTATTGTCCCCGAACGCGCAAGGAGCGATACCGCTGACGTCCCCGAACGCGCAGGGAGGAGGAGTTTGCGCGGTAGCTCCCTTCACTCCCGATGTCGACTCCGCCTCCGAAGTTAACCCCACCCTCCCCTCTACTAGTCATGCCTTCGAGGGCGTGTTTAATGGGCCTCCCAATACCAGGGATGCTGGACAGGCCCCGCCTCGCCCGATATCGGAAGGCGCTGCCGACCGAAGAGAACAGGAGCCTCTCCAAAGAGGGAGTGAGGCGATTCATCAAGAGGAGAATCGCACAAATACGGCGTTTGGGACAACGGCGTCCTCCATGAGGTCATGGCCCGCAATTACCTTTCGTCGCCCAAGCAAGCGTCCAAGACGCTCGAGATCTCCATCGAGACGCCATGGATCTAGACGCCGTCGGTACCGTTCTACATCAAGAAGACGCCGACGTTTACGATCCTCCTCTTCATCCTCCACCTCTTCATCCTCCTCCTCCTCCTCCTCTTCTGGACGTTCAAGGAGGCACAGCCGCTCCAGATCCTCAAGATCTTCTAATCATTGGAGGAGATATGGTCCTGGACCTCTGCCTTTCCCAGGGTTTTGGCAAATGGGCCCTTCAGGCCAAATGATGTTTGTGCAGCAGCCGTTCTCGAGACCAGCATCAGTGCAGGGACAAGCCCCCATATCACTCAATAGACAGATTACTAATGTAGAGATACAAAACGCCACTACATTCCAGGCTCCTGATACCAATAATGATGATGTAACTCACATGAGACCTAGTGCTGAGAGAACACCACTACAACATGCTTCAGTTACTCCTGTGCCTACTGATAGTAATACTGTGCTTCCCATGGGAAATGGTGACAGGAGACTAACACAACATGACACTGCAGAGACTCAAAGGAGTGCACAACATCAAAATAGAGACCAAGAAATAGACGCTACAGTTGTACTTACAGCATCTACGTCTACCCATTTGAATACCACCCAAAATTTGATACCTACACAAGCAGTACCTGGACATGTACCTGATATTACAGCACCTGAACCGAATGATTCGGCATCAGATTCTGACTCCCCAGATGCCATTCAAAACTTGGGGGGTGAGGAAAGCAATGGTGTTCAACTTACAGACTTCAGTAGGTTTCATGCATTAATGGAAAGAATGATAACAGAACTTGGTATCCCAGCTCCAAAACCACCTGAACATGTCGATGACCCAATGTTTCCTTCCGAGGAGCAAAATGCTTCCCCTTCGATGTCATTGCCAGCTTTACCATATTTATTGAAACTTGCAAAGATTGTAGACGTATCCCCCTTTATGACTCCAGCAGTACCTAGAAGGCTGGATTCCTTGTATAAGATTGATGTTTCTGCTTTTAGATGGGTTACCACTCCCCCAAAACCAAATACGGTAGTGGCTGAGGTGGTGAAATCTAAACGCCCTAAGGGCACTCTGACTACGCCTCCAGATAGGGAGGGCAAAAGAATTGATTCTTTAGGCAAAAAGGCACATATTGCGGCTGGGTTGTTTACCC